GCATGTCAGACGCTGTCTAGGCAAATAAATCAGCATTTCGCAGCAAGACTTTCTGAACGTTCTGCCTTTCTTGTGCGGATAACCCAATGCCAAGATAAGTGATTTGTTCAGGCTTCAGTCCCAACTGGAAGGGTTGCTTATTTTTCCTAGGCTCGACCCGACATCCCTTGTCAACTCTGGGAAGACAATATTAACGTCTCGTTTGTACCCCTAGAATGGTTTTAAGTGCAAGCTTGCAAAATAGCATTCTCTGGCCGTCTTTTGGTCAGCATGGACTGTAACAATCCGGCCCCTTTCTGATGGAAATTTCATAGCCAGGTGAGGAGTAGACACTATGGCTTTCAATTTATTAAGTGATGGTCGACCGAGTAGTATGTTGTACAAAGTATTCGCGTGCACCACCAGGTAAGTGACCTTGATGCGTTTTCCTTCATTTTCAGACCCAAATGATGTGTACAGGTCGATATAACCATGGGTCTCTACTCGTTCCCCAGAAAAACTGACCAGTGGTTCATGGTACTCTCTGAGTTCATCTTCTAGTATCACCAGTTGTTTGAATGTGTTCCAGTAGAGGATATCGGTCGAGCTCCCCTGGTCAATTAGTGTTTTCCTGATAGTGCAATTGAGGATGTCCACACTTATAACCATAGGGTCATCTTGCACTAGATCTATCCCCTGAAAGTCGTTGTCAGTGAATGTGATGGGGGGAATCTGGATTCTACTACCCAGCGATATATTGTTAACAGAGCAGACTTGTCTCAGATGTCTCTTTCTGGCCGAATTGGTGGGTCCTCCACCTGCAAAGCTATTGGATATGGTGTTAATAACCCGCTTCAGGTATTTCTCTCGTTCCTCATATCGTTTCACAGGAGGTTCTCTTGACTAGCTCCGTTGTCCATGCCTTCTTTAGGAGTGGGGATATCGATCTCTACTTCTTTCAGTATGACCAGTAGGATTTGTTTGCACAAATCCTTGAAATACCCTTCCTTCATCAGATCTTCGATTTTATCCTTTAGGGCCGTGCACTCTTCTGTGGTGTGCCCCTATTGCGATGATATCGATAAGATTTGCTTTTGTCTGCCTGAGGGGGGTATTAGCATGCCTGGGCATGCTCAATATTTCAGTCACGAGAGCTTAGTCAAGTACCCTAGACTGGTTGGTGTTGAGAGTAGTATATGAAGGATACTTGGGACCTCTAGGCGACCTCTCAACATCATTTCTTCTAGCTTTGTTTTCTTGTCGAGACTTGAAAGTTTCTTTTTTGTCCGCCTCTCTTGCATTGGACCCCTATGATCTATCCGGACTTGGTTCTAGTATTCAGTTAACTCCTCCATTTGCATATATTTGGCTGCCCAATTCCTTAATTCGTCTAGGTCCATGGGTGGTTTCTTACATATGCTATTAACGAAAGATCCTGGTCTAAGGGTCGTTGTGAGGTGGTGCATGGCCACGGCTGGTTCCAAATTGTGGATAGAAAGGGTTACTTTGCTAAAGCGTTCCATGAACGCTATAAGTGTTTCTCCTGGCGAATGTTGACGAGCGCCAGGGATGTCAGGGGGTTAGGTCAGCTTGTGGCGAACTGTAGATTGAATCGTTGTGTATGGGTTGCGAAAGAGTCAATGGAGGAAGGGGAGAGTCGGGTGAACCAACTAAGAGCTGGTCCTCAAAGGGAAGTGGGGAAAATTATGCACCATAAGGCCTTGTTTTCCGTATACATACCAACTTAGGTTATGGAAATATCCAAGTGTTCTCTTGGGTCAGACGTTCCATCGTACTTCTCTAACTTTAAACCTCTCCAGTTATCAAGTAATTTGGCCTCCAGGATAGGTTGAATAAAAGGGCTTCGACACGAGACATCATCCTGTTCAGTAGGGGTTCCAACTTGTGGAATTACCTTAGGCTTTCCTTGCAATGCCGAGAACTCTCCCTGCTCTTGAGCGAACGGGGTAGTCTGAGAGGGTATATGGGTTTTAATTTCCTCCCTCAAGTTAGCGTTCTCCCTCCTTAAGGCCAACATCTCAAGAGCATATCTCTCTCTGGCCTGTTGCATTTCCCTCATTGGCCGACATCTCAAGAGCATATCTCTCTCTGGCCTGTTGCATTTCCCTCATCTCAGCCTGGAGCTGTCCTACTACAGAAGTAGAAGATTAACAAGCTTATGGTAATGCATTGTCTTTTGAGGTGACTTGAGTGAAACACTTTGAACCATACACTTGAGAGTTGAGTTGTATACACTATCTTGTGAGATCTTTCATGCTTAATCTATACACTTTGAATGATATTGCTTGGCTTGCATTTTTGAGAGGTTGGGAGTTGGATGTTTGATTGTTGTAGAACTCTTGATGCTTTATTTGATCTTGTGTCCCTAAGTTCAGCACTTCTAAGGATTCATTGGAGAATTTGTTTATTTGTTTGGATTATTCTATGATTTTTTAGGTTACATGTTTTTATTTGCTTGATTATGTCTTACATGAGGACATGCAAGAGCTAAGTATGGGAAAATTTGATCAATTGAATTTTTATAACATTATTTTCTCTCATTCCTATCTCATTAATCCTCTTTTGTGCCTAATTGGTTGAATTGGATCATTTTATAATGTTTGAATTTTATTTAATTTTTTCAGTATTTGGCAAATTCTGATACTATTTTGGTTTCGGGACCATATCTTGAGTTGTAGAACTCCTTTCATTGTGATTCTTGATTTGTAGGAAAGCTAAGAGAAAGGTGCACAATTCCTATGAAGAGGTCAGAAACCAATTTTGATGATAAGAAGCTGAAACTGGGTCTGGAAAAAGTCAAAACGCTATAGTCGCGGATCCTGAGTAAGGTGCAGTATTTGGGCCATATCTCAGTCCACAGACATTCGATTAAGCCCATTTCAGTGGAGTTTTGAAGCTAACATCCAAGACTACAATTGTCCTTAAGGCCATGAACCAAAAAGAAGCCGTTTTCATAGCAAAAAAAAAAATAACAAAGTGATGAACGAAATTTTTGAATTTTGAATTTGGAATTTTAATTTTTTGGCTCCTCTCCTCTCTTTTCTGTTTCATATTTATATACTCTCTAAATAGATTAATTTGACCTTGTGATTCTTTGAGAAACGACCCTAGTTGCTTACCTCGTACTATAGTAATTAGGTTTATTTTGACCCGTGTGCGACCTCGTGTACGTAGATTGACGTCCTTCTGTCCAGGTAGAATGACATCCTTCTGTATGTAGATGACGTGGGGAGGGTACCTGCAAAAGGCACTCCAATGCTGAAGTCAGATCTCGGTTTTGAGCAGCAAATACTATTTTAATAATTAAAAGTCAATCAATTACCTGTACTTCTTACCTTTCTTTTATAGGCATTGTTATGGGCTTGTTGAGTCAGCCTTGGTTTTGGCCTTTTAATTAAAGTAAGTAATATTCTGATTATTATCCTCAATTGGGTTAATTACCTCCTAATCTGATAAGGGGTGTTCGGTCATATTAGGCCGAAGGGATACCCTGTTACCATTTCCTACGAGTAGGACTGAGTAAGGCCATATTCAGTACATGTTATATGGTAAAAACAAGTGATATATAGCTTGTTGCTTGAATATGTCTAAGAAAAGTTGTCATGATGCAAGTGTTCGACTGTAACTTAATTCTATCTTAGAGGATTTTGTCAATAGATACAAATATTTTAAATATTTTAACCGTGAATAGTTTATTTTAGTTTTTTTTTGTAAATTTTTTTCCTGAAATTATTTTGTCAAAATATGATAAAAATAAATTTTTTTTTCTAAAATAAGATAATATGTTTTTGCCACATTACTTTAAGTGTCATTTTTGTAAGAGATGATAATTATATCATGTAAAGATCAATATTTATTTTTTAATTATTAAAAAAATAAAATTGATGTTTTCTTTGAAAAGGTAAACAAAACTAAATTGAAATAATAACATTAATTGAAAATTAAGAAATGAAAAATCATTTTTCTCTCCAAAGGGCAACACTAGTGAAAAAACTGAAATTTGATTAGACCAAATCAGGGTGTTACATGAGCAGTGCAAATGTTGCTGGTGGGCTTGTCCCTTGGGATATGCTGCTCCCTCATTTGCATGGCCATTCTCAAAGCTGGCTTTCCAGAAGAATCAACACTGACACCTATGATTCTCTCGGGCATCATCCTCTTGTGACGTGGCAATGGGAATGCAGAGGATTTTCTCTAAAACTTTGTAAAATTTTAAGTTCGACCAAAATGTATAAGGAAGCTAGCTATCACAAACTTCAATGTCCTGAAGGCATAAGGAACATTGCTTGAGTTGTTTAATAAAAAAAAGTAAGGGTGGTAAGGTACTGATTCCAATTTCACTCCAAATTGTTGATTATTTAACCAAATCATGTAACATCAACTAAATGTTAACTTTTATTTTTATTATATTTTGACAAAATATCTATTACTTATTCTATTAATTTTTTATAAAGTAGTTTTTTAAAAAATTAATAATTATTTTAAAACTTTCTCTTTCTCTCGTAAGAGAAGATAATTAATTATAACTTTCTTTTTCATTTATATTAATTTATTTGATAAAAAGAGAGTAATAATATTTTTACAATATGTAAATTATTAATAAATTTAATGCTATTAATTAAAACATAGGTGTATAATTTGATAAAAAATAATTTATTTACTTTTAATTTGTTAAATTTTATTTTGTACAACTTAGTTTTTTTTTGGTATGTACAACTTAATTTTTGAACGTGTTAATTTTTTTATATTTTAATTTTTAAGAAATTAATTAGTTTCTCAGAATTGTCATTATTCAAATTTGGTCGAGTATATTGTATATTTTATATATATATATATATATATATATATATATATATATTAAAAACATATTTTTAACATTAAATTATATAAAATAAGTTTTTTAAATCCAAAACTAAAAGATGTTTTATTTTCTTATGTCCCATATAAAATACCATTATTATAGATCAAAATATATATTCACTGATGAATTGAATGAACTTGATTTTCAAGTCCTGTGCAGTAGATAAAAGCCATTTCATTTCACATAAACCATACAAGAAGGGTTTGGCGGCAACGTTTCAGAGGGAGGGTTTGGGAGAATGGGTCGGTGCCGAGCTGCGTCGCGGCCCGCCGACGATGACCCCAACCACAGGTTCGTTTCTGATTATAAATAAAAGCGCTTCTGTTTCAACTTTTGTGTTTGGACTTTGCTGCCGTCAAATTGAACTTGGGGGCAACGGAGATTCAATTATATTCAGTGTGACGTTGGCGTTATGAATGATTCCACAAACCAAACTTAGTTTCTTTGGACAGAAATTAAAGTAAATTATAATTTTGATGTTGCTTTTGGCTTAATTAACCAAGGATTTAGAATGTTAAAGCTTTTCACTGACTTGACTTCATTGGACTTAGGAGGTGTTCTGTGTTATGGACTTTATTGGACTTATGCCATTTTTTTCTTTTATCGTTGGAGTTAATGGTGTGTAGTGGTTTGTACAGAGGAGTGCTACTTGGTGGTTTGATTAATATGCACGGTTTTGTTTGAATGGAATAGTATTACTCTGAGATTCTTAGGTTTTGATTGGATGGTGAAATTTTGGAGATGGGAGGGGAGGGGTAGGTTTTTTGCTTCTCAATTAAGGAGTGATTGGAAGGTTACGAGATAATCTCTTGTTTAAATTCCTCCCATTTTTAAAAGTTTTTTTAAATAAAGTGAATCTTTTCTTACAACAATAACAATGACGACAAGGCATATTCCATTAGTTGAGATTGGTTACATGGATTATTTAACGTGCGAACCCTTTTGATGATTTATTCCTCGGTTACTTTTGGTCTCTCTTTAACCCTTTTCTTCATAGGGCTAAAAGCCATAACAATCAGGGTTCCTCCTTGGTGCCTTCAATGGCCTTCTTTGCGCATGTCCAAACCAAACCGTGTTAACTGATTTTCTGTCATCTTCTCCTCAATAGTTGTTATCCTAATTCTCCTCGTAAACAATAATTTCTTATCCTGTCTTTTCTCATGCTATCTTAAAGTGAATATTTTCTTAAAATGAGAAATAACCCCTTCCCTTCCTTCCTTCCTTCCTTTTCAAACTGCTTCATTTAATGAACACACACGTAGTGGGAACTTTTAGAGAAGATTTTAAATTGCAGTTGTGGTTATGTTGCAATTTCCAAAATTGTGAGCAGGTACAGCTGCTGAAGCCGGAATTGTGATTGTGGACCACAATTTTAAACCATGCTTTTGGATGTCTTGACTTTTGTTAAGATTTAGAGAATGAGAGAAAGAGATAGAGAAAGTTTAGAGAATTCAGAAAATTGATTTTGTATTGACTCTATTGAATAGTGGAGATTTACAAAGTATTCATGTCATAACTAAGCCCTAGCTATCTAACTGATTGAATCAGTTGAGAAAAGAGTTTGTTAACGCTGTCCTAATATGCATAATCAAATAACAGTGGGAACCACAATAACAATGATATTTATTCCAATATTGTCCCCTCAAACTCAAGGAGATCCAATTCCATGTATTTTGTGTGTGAGCACAGGACAGGATTGTGAGCTAAGGAAACAATATTGAGGTTGTCAAAGTAAACAATGGGATTTGACAAAGGAATTGTTAGTTCTTGTAGGAGTTACTGTATCCACTGAATTTCTGTTACAGTGGTTGCTTTGCTGGGCTTCGATATTCTGCTTCTGCATTGGATTGAGCAACAACATTTTGTTTTCTTGACCGCCAAGATACTAGATTTGGACCAAAATAGATGCAGGCACCTGAAGTTGACCTTTTGTCTTCTGGGTCTGAAGCCCAGTCCACATCACAAAAGCCTTGAATAACCAGATGAGATGAACTATGAGCTGGTTTAAGATGTAAGCCATGTGTAGTTGTTCCTTGTAAATATCTAAGAATCCTTTTAACCAATTTCCAATGACTTTTGAGAGGCTGTGAGCCTGTGACAGAACTAGCAGGCTCTGTTGACACTATAGTCTATAGCTGATTTCTGGACAAATAATGGTTGCATATTGTAATGCACCAACTATGGATCTATAGAGGCTGAATCAGACCCACAGGCACCAACCATAGGAGTAGAAATACCTTTTGCAGCTATCATGTTTGCTTGGCAAGGAGATCACAATTTATTTTGACCGAGACATTAGCACAGAACTATTTTAAAGAGTTTTAACTTCAATGCCCAGAAAATAGTCAACGACCCCTTGCTGTTTTATGATAAAGACAAAGCTCAGTTTGGTTATGAGTTGAATTTGAGATGGAAAGCTGCCTGTGACTCATATATTATCCACATAGACTAAAACTGTAAAACTTATAGACAGCTGGATGGAATTGATTACATAAACAGAGAAGGGTGACACTTACAGGACTTAAAAAACCATGATTATGGAGTGTTTTGTCAGAGCAACGATTTATCTATTGCTTCAAATCCCCGGAGGTTACATCATGTAAACTTCCTCCTCTAGGTAGCCATTGAGAAAAGCATTATGAATGTCAAGTTGCTGAACAGTCCAGTTGATGGAGAGCTAGAGTGAGCATAACTCTGATTGTGACAAGCTTGATCATGAGTAAGTTTCATCATAATCGAAACCAGGAAGAGAGTCTAAAGTCCACGTGTTGTTGGCTATGTGAGCTGAAAATTCCCTTTTCATTGCAGAATACCAATTCTGGTCGGAGAGTGCTTGCTTAAGAGAAGATGGTTCAACATGGGACAAGAGAGGAGTTGGAGGGAGTCACAGTTTGAAGATACTTGACTTGGATCTTGTTTGCATAGGAAGAGTTGAGGTTGGTCTTGTAGGATCTATGATTGGATTTGAAGTATCTGCAAATGTAGTATTGGAGCCAGTTTGCACTCTTGCAGGTTACAAAACTAGAGGGTGGGAGTCATCAGATGGAGCATTGGAGGGGAAAACTACTGGAGTAATAGCTGGTGCAGAAGAGTTTGGAGGAGAAATGTTTAGAGGTTTAATAACAGTTAGAGGTAATGAGGAAATTGACCGAGATGGGGAGGATGGATTAGGAAATTGATGCTTTATAACCCGCATCAATTTGAGGGGGATGTTAAACAAGAAATTTGTTATTATTCTTGTTTATGTTTGTGTATTAATTGGAATTATTTTCATTTCCTTTTATATGTGTATTGAATTAGGAAATAGAATTATTTTGTAATTAATAGTTGTACTTGTACTGTATCTGTACTATATATAGGGATGATTAGAATGAAAGAGAGGCATCAAGCAAATTATTTGACGTTTTAGACTGTACAAAATATTAGTAATGATGAAGATTTTGGTGTATTGGGATTAGGATTTGAGAGTGGAATGGATAATTCTTAGTTCTTACAATCCTTATTGATTGTAGTGAGTTTTCTCTGTTTTCTATGTGACTTAGGCCTCTACATCACTATAATATGAAACACATTAAATTTCTTGTCTATTTTTCTTCTCCATAATTTTTGCTAGCACACCAGGTTGCTGCAAAAAAGTTGGGCCTACATTTAGGTATTTAGTTGTGAAGAAATTCGATCAACATGTTGAATTTTTTTTTCTGCTAAAGGTTTATTTATTCTATGTTTTGAGGTGGAAAGAACAAAGATTGGGAAGTTATCTTGCAGGTTAATATTTATGAAAGTAAAAACTTTGGATTTTTTAAAAATATTTTTCATCCTTTCTTTTTTTCCCTCTTTTTGTGGGAAAATATATTGACAAGCATATAATTGGGGGAGATGTTTAGGAGTGTCAATCATTGTTGATGAAAATGAAGTATGTTGAGCGGTTTTGAGTAGAAATCGGGAAATATGGATTGTTAGTATGCTTTCTGTGCATAAGCTTTGAGGTATACATGGGCCCATAGCGTCAAAATTTCGGATGCTAGGGAATCTTAATGCTTTTTTGCTGCAGGTGGTTGTATTTATAGGTTTGAACTTTGAAGGTGAAAATTTTGAAAAGCTCAATCTTAAATGTTCTACAAATTATTAGGTCTTTTTCTCTTATAAAAGAAAAATGCATAGTTTTTCCTGTCCTAGGAAGATTTTGTCTTGTTTTAGATTTTTGTTTTTGGACATGCCATTGGATGGATCGAAATTCTTCTTGAATGCTTCTTGCTACATATTTTTGTTTAGTTACTCTCATGTTGTAATTCTGTTTGCTTTCTGTTACTAGGTCAAAGAGAAAAAGGGCTGCTTTGAATGTAGAAAGTCCAGAAACTTTACCTACAGGTGATTTTTCATTTGACAGATACCTGCCTTCTCTCCAAAAAGTTTACTAACATTTTTTGTAATCTAAATGTGGTTGGAGTAGGCCATGGATTAGCTGATAGTAAGGTATCACTTTATCACTGTAATTACTGTAACAAGGATATTTCGGGGAAGATTCGCATCAAGTGTGTTGTGTGTCAAGATTTTGATCTCTGTATAGAGTGTTTCTCTGTTGGTGCTGAGTTGACACCTCACAAAAGCAATCATCCGTATCGAATTATGGTATGAAACCTTCTGTGGCTTGTTCCTTTTGTATATTTATTGTATTACTTTCACAGATTTGCATCTTCATTTCTTTTCTTCAATATACAGTATGATATTGAATGTAATCTAGTTCTGCTAAGATCAGGATGCTGGTACTGTGGATAATTGATAACAGCTTCTTTCCTTCCTTGTGCATATCTTCTTTTGAATTTCTTTCCTCAAAAGAATGAAGAACAGGCAAGCATTAAATGCTAGAGACTGTACTAAAAAGGGTTGGCATTAATTCCTTAATGCCAATACTCTGTTGTGAGTAGTGCTAGCTTTAATTATCTGTATATATTTTGCATTATGATGTTAGCAGATTTTTACTTTGTTATAAGCAGTTGTATTAGGATTAGATTATATTGTTATGAGTTGTCATAATGGACCTGGCCCATTAGGGTCTCTACATATAGTAGAGTATTCAATTCCAGCACACTCTCTCTCTATGCTCTCCCGCTCTCTCTCTATCTCTTTCTACATCAATGGGTCAGATTTGGCTGTTACTGACTTTTCCTCTCTGCAATGATCAGCTATGCTAGTATATCACTTCTGAAGGGTGCTTTTCTAACTCTGTTCTGAAAATGCACATGAACTTCATTCTTTCTCTTCACTTGATGGTCATCACAAGAAGATAAATGCTGAGTGAGTGTTCTCAACTCTTTCTTCATATGTATGCCATCATCATGTGTGCAACATTTTGAGCTGAAAATAGTAAAATTTTATTGTGAATTGAAGTTTTCAGCATAGATGCATCCACGTTCATGGTTGTAGAAATTAAGAGAGAAAGAGCATAGAGAGAGAGACAAATTGGTGTGCTGGAATTGGATACTCTGTAATGTGTAGAGACCCTTATATTTATAAGGATACATATGTAACTTTACTGGGCCAAAACTATTATTATAATACTAAAATAAACCCTAATCCTAATACGTCTATTATAACTATTCATAACACTCCTCCTCAAGCTGGAGCATAGATATGAATCATGCCCAGCTTGTTACAAATATAATTGCTACGTGTCCCATTTAAAGCCTTTGTAAACACATCTGCTAGTTGGTCGTTTGTCCTAACATGAAAGATGGATATAAGCTTCTGCTGAACTTTTTCTCGAATAAAGTGACAGTCTATCTCAATATATTTCGTCCGTTCATGAAAAACTGGATTTGAGGCAATGTGTATCGTTGCTTGGTTGTCACCATGGTAGTCAAAATCGAGATGCTACGTAGGATCGGAGAGGGGATGAAAGATCGTAACTCGTAGAATCGTAACACGAATCGTAAGATCCTACAAAATTGTATAAATGCATGTAAAATAGTATAAATATAAAGATGGGGAAGTAAAACAAAGACAAATGAGGGAAGAGTTCAAACCAGAGACAGGGAAATGCTAAAAACAGAGACAGAAAAGAAGGAAAAGATGGATAAGGTAAGGTATTCCGTTAGAAAGACTATTTTAACCTCTAAAAAAATTTAAAATAAAGTGATTTTAAGGGCTAAAAGGGAAAGTCAGATTATTTTTAAAAATTAAGAAGTCTCTTTTACCTTTAAAAAACCCTAAAATTTGCTTCATTCTAGGGATAGAAAGGGAAAGTTGACTACTTATACCCAGCGGCACTGTTGCACTGCAAATGAGGCTCTGATGGTTGCAAATACAACTGGGATGACCACCACAGCAAAATGTTCCGCTTTGACAAGGTCGCCGATGCAAAGCACAGTGCCGGCACAGACAAGTTCGCCAGAGCAGACACAGTCATTCGAGCGAAAGCTACAGGGATCGCAAACCAAAACAGAGCACAGAAAGCAGAAAATCTCAGACCAAATCACATAAAAAATCCAATCGGGGAGCCAAAACGCAATCGCCGGAAAAACGCAGAGAAGTCGCACAACAGAGATGTAAAGTCTTGCAGAACAGAATGAAGAAGAAAGGAAGACGTCGTAGTGCGGAGTTTTTGGGATTTTAGGGTTCCAACTCCTTTAATGAAGTCGGGTCGGGTCGCAGGTCGTTGGCCCAAAATATCTTCTTCTCTGCACATCGGAATAGTGCGTTTTCAACTTTTTATGTCCCAGCAAGAACGATCCCACCGATCCCACCATTTCGTGTTCCCAGCACCAACTCAGCATGGAGGCGTGGTTAGAGATCGTAGAATCATACAATCCAAAATGCGATTTTGACTACCATGGTTGTCACACCAAAGTCGCATAGGCTTAGTGCTACCAAATCCTATCTCTTCCAACATATGTTTCAATCACATTAACTCAAAAGTAGTCTGAGTCATCGTTCTATATTCTGATTCTACACTTGATTTTGATACAATGTTTTGCTTCTTACTTTTCCACTAAATTAAATTACCTCCTAAGAATACACATTATCCAGTAATAGATTTTCTGTTCATAGATCCTGCCCAATCAACATCAGAAAATGCCTTTATCTGTGCATGTCCATGATCTTTATACACAATTCCTTTTCCTAGTGTTTTTTTCAAATACTTCACAATGCAGATTAGTGCTTCTCAATGAGTATTCGTCGAAGATGACATAATCTGGCTAATAACACTCACTAGAAAAGCAATATTCGGCCTTGTGACAATCAAGTAATTTAGCTTGCCTATTAATCTTTTGTATTTCTGTGGATCTGCAAAAGGAACTCCATCTGCTATCAGTTTCACTCTTGGCTCTATAGGTGTCTCACATGGTTTAGCTCCTTTTAGTCCCGTCTCAGTCAATAAGTCTAAGACATAGTTTCTCTGTGAAAGAAAGATTCCTTGCTTGGAGTACATGACTTCAATACCCAAGAAGTATTTTATAATTCCGAAGTCTTTTATCTGAAACTTGGTTTGAAGAAATTTTCTTAGGTTGCTGATTCCTTCTTTGTCCCTACCTGTAATAACAATATCATCAACATAAACAAGTAAAATACAAGCATGATTAGTTTGTTTGTAAAACACTGTATAATCACTCTCATTCCTCACTAATCCAAATTCTAGAATCACGTCAATAAATCTCTCAAACCATGGTCTAAGTGATTGTTTCAAGCCATATAATGACTTCTTTAAACGACACTCTCTTCTACACTCTCCCGGGCAACAAAGCCAGGTAAGTCTCCATGTAAGAATGTATTCTTCACATCTAGCTGAAATAATGGCCAATGAAGCATAGCCACAAGAGAAATGAAGATGCGAATAGATGAGAGTTTAGCTACTGGAGAGAACGTATCAGTGTAGTCAACGCCATAAGTTTGGGCATACCTTTTTTTGCAACAAGGTGTGCCTTCAAACAAGCCACAAAACCATCTGAATTAACTTTCACAGTGTAAACTCACTTACAACGCCATCAGGAAGAGGAACCAAATCCCAATTATCATTTGTCTCAAGAGTCAACATTTCTTCCTCTATAGCATGTCTCCAACCATCATGACTGAGGGCATCTGCAAAGGTCTTAGGAACAGAGAGAGAGAGTCTACACCAGCCATGAAGAATTTAGATGTAGAGGATAAATGAGCAGACGTCACATAAGATCAAATAGGATATGTGCAAGATCTTACCTTTTCAGATAGCAAGAGGAAGGTGAAGGTCAAACATAGGATCTGTTGATACCTGAGGAGATGATGGTAAAGGTTGAGTATAATTTTGAATATCATTAGCCACGGTGGGCACATCATCTGAAAGCTGTTTTGGCCGGTGAGAGTATATCTATTCAAAGAACTTGAAACCTATATCAATAGGAGCCAGAGGTGCAACGGGATGTATAAATTGGACAAGAGTATAAGTCAAGAAAGGTTCATCTACCTCATACATGGACTCAAAAGATGAGGACTTAAAGAATGAAAGACCTTCAAAAAAAGGCACATAAGAGGAAATAAGATAGTGACTAAGATTAGGAAAAAAACAATGGTAACTTTTTGTGACCGAGAATAACCCAAAAATACACATTTGAGGGACTTCAGATCAAGTTTAGTTACCTGAGAACAAACATCAAACATAAAACAAGTGCAGCCAAAAATTTAGGAGGTAAAGAAAAGAGAGATTGTGATGGAAAAAGTATAGAGTGGGGAATCTCACCATGTAACACAGATGATGATATGCGATTAATTAAATATGCAGCAGTAAGAATAGCATCAGCCCAAAAAGGTTTGGGAACTTTCATTTCAAACATTAAAACATGGGCTACCTCCGTAAGATGACGATTTTTATGTTTAGCTGCTCCATTTTGTTGTGGGGTAACAATACAAGAAGACTGATGAAGTATGCCATATTTATTCATAAAATTAGTGAAGGATGCAGAAAAATATTCTTTAATATTATCACTTCTAAGAATGCGCACACAAGTATTAAATTGAGTTTTAATTTCAGTATAGAAATTATAAAATATAAAAAAGACTTTAGATCTAGATTTTATCAAAAATAACCATATTGCACGAAAATAATCATCTACGAAGGTAATAAAATATTTAAAACCAGATTTAGAAGTAACTGGACAAGGGTCCCAAACTTCAGAATGAACAATTTCAAAGGAGGCATGAGCCTTTTTATTTAAACAAGGTAAATAAATATTACGATGATGTTTAGCAAACTGACATGACTCACAATAAAAATTAGATTCTATACCAGGATATAATTTCTTAAGAATTCCTAAAGATGGATGACCCAGACAACAATGAAGTTGGAAATGAGACACTGTTTCCTTCCTAGACACAATAGAAGCTTATAGAAGTCCTTCTTCTTTTAATAGATACAACCTATTAGATACTCTACCTTTACCAATAATCCTGTGTGTCACCAGATCCTGAAAAGGACAAGAATGAGAAATGAATGTTACTAAGCAATTTAATGAAGTGATTTGACTAATGGACAATAAATTTAAGGAGAATTGAGGCAAACATAAAACAGAGGATAAAAGGTAAGGTTGAAACTGGGGTGGTACACTTGCTGCCCTTAATATGGATAGTAGAATCATCAGCGAGTGTTACAGAAGAATGAGAACTAGGTAGACAAAAAGAGGAAAGGATACCTGAATCTCCAGTCATATGATCAGTAGCGCCAGAATCAATGACTCAACGCCTGGAAGAAGAGGAAAGACATGCAGTAGGATTACCTTTTTGAACCAAAGTGACTATAGAGGATGTAGACGGCTGTGAGGAAATCTGAAACTGAGTATATTGAATAAATTCCTCATCACTCATACGCACAATACGTCTTTTCTCTTGAGTAGCTGTATCAGGTTGAGACACCGAGTTAGCGAAGCAGGAATTCCTTGTAAGTGAAAAAACGACTGATTCTGTGAAGGATGACTGCACTGATTCCAATAATGGCCAAATTTGCCACAGTTGTAGCACTGTACAATACCACGACCTCCACTACACCCACGGCCATGACTACCTCTACTACCATTGCGACCACCACGGTGACCGTATTGGGCTGCCAATGCAGAGTGGTCAGGAGACTCATTTTCTGTAGTGCTCTTGAGTTTCTCAAAGGAAGACTGCATAACTTTGGAGAAGACATCGGTAAGATTATCAACCTGCTTGCTTGATAGAATTTGAGACCGAACTACCTTATATTCCGGATCAAGTCTGGAGAGCCAACTCAAAGCCGTGAGTTTCTTTATTGTGCTATCATCTCGTCAATAGTTTTGCAGGCTAAAAGAGATTGTATCTCCTCAGCATGCTTCTTAAACTCCAAAAAAATAGTCCATTAGCTTCTGCTTATTTTGTTTGGGTCGATAAACTTCTTGCAAGAGAGCATATAACCGATTCAAATTATCAGATTTTTCAAAAATAAATTGCAAAAAATTCCACAACTCCTTCACAGTTTGCAATGGGTAATAATCACTTTTATTCGTCTATTAATAGAGTTTACTAGCAACACAAGGATCTTTTTATTGCGTATCTTCCATGTGTCAACATCGTTAGAATTGAAAGGTGGTGTTTCAGTCAAATGATTATCTTTTTCCATTCCACCCAAGCTAATTTCAACCAAATACTTCCACTCCATATAATTCTTACTATCTCCATCCAGCTTAACATTGGTAAGTTTGGATAGAGAAACAATCTTCTTAACAGCCCCCTTGGTGCATCCTGCACATTCTGACTATCATGTTCAGACATTGTATATGCACAAACAGTGATAAAATTGCTTGGATTTCATCTCAATGGCTAGAAAGAAATGCCACATTCAAACTGTAAACGTTGAATTACTACATATTCTGATCATCGGAAAAATTTTTGATCCCCACAGCAGCCATGATTGGCCTCTTTTGAAGCTGCTGTTTTTTTTTTTTTTTTTTTTTTTTCTGATAGTGGTGGAGTGGTGGTGGCAGCATGGTGGTGGTGGCTGCGACTAAGGCGACCAAAGAGAGAACCTAGATGGCTCTTGATACCATGTAGAAATTAAAAGAGAAAGAGTATAGAGAGAGAGACAGATTAGTGTGCTGGAATTGGATACTCTACAACGTGTAGAGACCCTTATATTTATAAGGATACATATGTAACTCTATTGGGCCAAGCCTATTATTATAATATTAAAATAAACCCTAATCCTAGTACATCTATTATAACTATTCATAATAATGGTTAATATATTAGGGTTTTAATTTAAATTAACATCATCTTGTTTTGGTATAGGATAATCTATCTTTTCCACTTATATGTCTAGATTGGAATGCAGATGAAGAGATGTTACTTCTAGAGGTATGTGATTTCAGAATGGGTAATACTTTTGTTTTGTTTTTGCTTTTGACTGCAAATGGTACTTGCTTTTCTAATTTGTTTCGCTTGTTATCAAAATTTTTGTATCTAAACAAATTTGTTTCATTATAGGGCATTGAAATGTATGGATTTGGGAATTGGAATGAAGTTGCGGAATATGTTGGAACAAAAAACAAATCTCAATGTATTGACCACTATAATGCTGTATATATGAATTCACCATGTTTTCCTCTCCCTGTAAGACTATATAAGAACTATGTCACTAATAGTGTAGTATACTTGCAACCATATTTGAATGCTTGGTGTAATTGTTCATATGCACACCCAGGATTTGTCTCATGTTATGGGAAAGAGCAGAGAGGAACTCCTTGCCATGGCAAAGGGACATGAAGCCAAGAAAGGTTTTTCTCAATGAACTAAATCATGAACATACATATATAGTATGTAACCAAGTGGTTGAAATTGATAGGGCTTTTGATGTTATAGAGATATTTACAAAGTAGTTGCACAAATAGTTAAATGGTTTTAGTTTGAAGGGCTAGGACTCTTATATAGTAGGAGGAGGGAAAACCTTTGGTGAAGGGGAAACCCTCATAGGAGAAATCTCTCCTTTTCTTTGTTGTCATGCCAACATCATTTCTCATTACATGTTGTTGAAAATAACTGTAAATAAATAGGGAATATTTATTTATTATTTAGATAGCGGTAATTGTGGTCAATATGTAACAATTTGTAATTATTACGTAGTCATTATAAATAAAGTCCTTTGTTGTGTATCATACACACAGATTTCACTCAATTTCTTCTCTCTCAACACATGCTTTTGGTCATTTTTAAACCCCATATTCTACATTTTTATATCTTTTAGTTGTTGCAGAATTTCCTCCAACTGCAGAGCTTACTCTTAAAGAAGAACCTCCCTTTTCTGACGGAATAAAGTACAGTTCACCCCCTTTCCCTGATTATTTGAATTGATCATTTTTTAGTTTTACTGTGGTAATTCTTTGGTGTAACATCTCAGCTATGAAGAATCCAAGAAGGCAGAAATCACTAATCAAAAAGTGTCTAGGTTAACCTCAGGTACAATCATACAGCTAGAAAAAGTCTGTCATTTTCATTTTGTACTGAAATTTTAGTTATTGGGTATAATTTATATGGATGATATGGGTTCAGCATGTGGCAAAGCTTATTCAAGTACAACTAAGAAGGCTTCCAATGTGAGCCAGAGTAATGATGGAGTTAAGGTGGAAGGTATGTTTTATGAATAGTGCTGTGAAAGATACAGCCTCTGTATTTTGTTTATCAAGTTTACATTTCTTTTGATATGGTTGTTGCATTTGACAGTTTGTAACCAATTTGAAGCCGTGGGTCTTTTGATGATTTGGAAAATATTTCACAAATTTAAATTAATTGTTCATGGAATTTAAACCTCAACAAACTGTGGGTTAACAAAATCTTCTACACACACATAGTAATGTTTAGGCTGGAAGGTTGAAGTTATTAGTTGAAGACACATGAATGATTTTATTTGTAGTACTTCCATTCACACAAAAATTTAATTGGAATGCACTGGTGGTGTAAAGGTTTTGTTTTGTTCTGTAATATAATTATGGATTGCCATATCATTGAAAATCTTGAGCTTTGCCCCAGGTCTCACCCATTAGGGTCTGGGTGTGGTTCTGAATTTGATGCAGGGACGTCAAGTATTGGTTTGGTTTTGATATTATTCTCAAGCTGATCCAAACCAAACTTCATGTTATATTTATAATTGATTAGGATGATTTTTTTGCAGCAAAACCGATCTGAACTGAACTGCAAATATTCCTACTAACAATAATTAGATCCCTAAATATGACGTTTTACTTTCCCGGGTTTCATTAACTTTATCCAATGCACAAAAACATTACTCATTCAATTCTAGACTCAAGTGAAATTAGCTTTGATGCTTGATTAAATAAAATATCTATTACATTCAATAATAAGTGAAATGTTTGATATGTCTTGTCCTCAAGGTGACCACCTCTTTTGGTAATACCTGAGCCACACACCTGGCTTATGAAGCTCAAACTTTGACACAAACAATCAAACACGACTAATGTCTAAAATATAAGATGCCAGGACATGCATGTGCACACACACATAATATTTCCTATGACAAGCCTCACAAAAGAATATTCAGAGATACTATTTTGCAATGGAGGCTGTGTATACCAGTGTTTCAAGAGGATGAAATGCCCATACTTGAACATCTATCTACTATGACCATCAAAACTGTGTCAAAAACCTTGGATTTGTGCTAACCAGTCACAAAATCCAAAGAAATGCCCTCCCAAATGTGAGAGGGAATAAGCAGTGTCTGTAAAAATCCACTTGGCAGCACAGCAGCACACTTTTGCCTCTGACACACATCACATGTTCTCACAAATTCCTAAATTTGTTTCTTGATTCTTAACATGCATAACTCAGGTGCTAATGTCATACTATATTTGGATGTTTCACAGTTTCAAAGATGTAGTCTGTTTTTGTCTTTTGCTTAACTGGAAATTTAACGAGCATTGAGTTTTATGTATTTAATATGTTGAAAATTGCATTTTATTTAGTAGAATCTCAAGCTGATCGGAGCATTGGAGAGAAGAAACCTAAAATATCTGGAGAAGATAGGCCTTCTATGACAGAGTTGAGTGGATACAGTTTTAAAAGAGAGGAATTTGAAATTGAATATGACAATGATGCAGAGCAAGTGTTGGCAGATATGGAATTTAAGGACACTGATACTGAAACTGAACGTGAAATGAAATTGCATGTGCTCCATATCTACTCAAAAAGGTATGAGTACTGTATGTTGTTGTTGAAGAAAGAAAGCTTCTTATTCTTATATATAAAAGAAAACCAAATTAATTATTTAAAAATGTCACTTTTTTGTATAATTAAATTTCAAATATATTTTCAAAGACTTTCTTAGAATTATAACTTTTGAAGGTAAAATGGAAATTGTGGAGCTGAGTTGCCTTATCGGGTTGGAATTGGTTTTCCCTTTCCCATTTTAAAATCCCAAATCCCAACTATGTGGGAGGAGAGACCTTCCTGTCCCCATCCCATCATGTTGACATCGCTACTGCTGTGACGTGTAAAAACTCTTGTATTGCCAAGTCCTGTTTGTAATATTATTTATTTGCCTTCATACCTGATGCAAAAATATGTGACTATTGAGCAGATTAGATGAACGGAAGCGCAGAAAGAATTTCATACTTGAAAGAGATTTACTTTATCCTGATCCTTTTGAGAAATCTCTCTCATCTGAAGAGCTTCAAATATGTCAGCGTTACAAGGTCTTCATGCGGTTTCACTCAAAAGAAGAGCATCGGGAGTTGCTAAAAAATATTATTGAAGAACACCGGCTTGCCAAAAGAATACAAGATTTACAGGTATTACATTCTACTACACATTCTAATGGTGTCAGCATTCTTTATTCATAGATATTTTTATTTTCTCGTTTATAAAGGGTAGCAGTCTCTGATGCACAGATACTTCAAAATTGACAACATAGCCATATCATACCCATATCGGATACTCAATATACATATCATACAGTTGCCGCCATATCCAAGTTTAATTGCATTACTTATATACTTTTAAATTTTTAATATTTATTTTTTCTTTAGATAATAAAGAGATTAATATTTTAATTTTAATATGATATTTAGTTAAATTTGATCATGATTATACTTTTATAATAAATTTTCAACAAATAAAAGATCAATAATAATACAATTATGATAGCAAACTAATATAAATTTTAGATATATTAAAAATATAAAGAAATCAATAAAGATAAATGAATAAAATATAAGTAATTTATAAAAATAATTTTTTGTTAATATGGTTTTTGCTAAACCCGTTTCTTATTTTATAGATAAATTAATATATTTATGTATCGTACCGTATCATACTTAATACTTGTACCCATGCAACTTGGGTGGCAGCACTCACTTAAATCGAGTTTGAATGAAAGCAAGTTAGATCCGTAAATAGCCTTTTACTTTAATATGTAGTTTATTCCTTCAGTTTTTTGTTAATTCCAACCGTACTCTCTTGATGTTCAAAATGTTGAGATTTTGCATTGTTTTTTGCAATTAAAGAGAACTGATAACTCAAAATGTGTGAATAGATTAATATGATTGTGGAAAATTTAAATTTATTTCCTCACACTCTTTGAGGTGCAGAAAGCTCACAATTTAAAGATTGTGTTGGCTACTAAGCTTTAACCAATGAAATCCCATAAAAGAAGGAATTAAAGTCAACAAAACTGATAGAAATTCAATAAGAAAAAGACAGTGTGTTATAGAATTTAATAGTAGAAAACAAACCCAAAAGTGATAACCAGAGCCTATGGCTCCTACAAGACCAATGAAAATCCTGCTCCTCCTAACAGGAAAAAAATCTCAGCCTATCTCCCGCTAACTCTCCCCCTTACACCATCTACTCTTTCCCCCTGTAACTAACTCATACCTTGCATTTCCTTTTCTACCCTCTTGCTCTTTGTCTTCTCACATACACCTCCCATGCTTTGGGCCTCTCTTCGTATCCAACTGGTCATTTGGGGAAGCAGCGCAATTAAGCAATTAATACCCTCCGCAGGAACAGCAACCTTGTCCTCAAGGCTAAAATTTGGAAATTGACTTTTCATGAAAATCTGCCTCTCAAGTGGAATGTTCAGTAGCCAATCCTTTCCACTAAATCAAATATTCTTTGGATAAGATACTATTGAGAAAAGAGAACAAGAAACATAGGATGAATCTGTGTTTTGACTACACATTAGAATATATATTTATAATAGGAACTATTGATACAAGAATAAGAAGTTATTGTAATTACAAAGATACTAATTTTCTTATTTATAATATTACTATAATTACATAATTCCAACACTCTCCTTCAAGCTTGAGCATATAAATCATATGCACCAAGTTCATTTCATATATAACTAATTCAAGGACCTCTTAAAGACTTGGTATAGACATTTGCTAGTTGATCATGAGAATTTACGAAACTAGTAGTGATGTCTCCAGATAAAATCTTCTCTTTAATGAAGTGACAGTCTATCTCAATATGTTTAGTCTTCTCATGGAAAACTGGATTTGATGCAATATGTAAAGCTGCTTGATTATCACAAGTATGTGTCATTTCTCTAACTTCTCCAAATCTCAATTCTTTGAGTAGTTTAAGCCATATAAGTTCACAAGTGGCTAAAGTCATGGCTTGATACTCTGCTTCTGCACTAGACCTTGCAACTACACTTTATTTCTTGCTTTTTCAGGAAATTAGATTTCCACCAATAAGGACACAATAGCCAATGTAGACCTCCTATCACTAGGTGATTCTGCTCAATCTACATTTGAATATCCTACAACCTAAGTATGTCTTTTGTCTTTATATAAGAGATCTTTTCTTGAAGCTCATTTAATATATTTTAGAATGCGGATTACTATATTCTAATGTCCATTATAAGGAGAGTTAAGGAACTGACTTACCACATTGACTGCAAAAGAGATGTTTAGACGAGTAACTGTCAGATAGTTTAATTTTTCAACAAGTCTTCTATACCTTTCTGGATCTGAAAGTGGCTCTCCTTGACATGGTAGAAGTTTGGTATTAGGATTTATAGGAGTATCAACAGATTTGATCCCCATCAATCTTGTTTCCTCTAGGATATCCATTGCACACATCTTTTGGGAAATCACAATACCATTCTTGGATTGTGCCACCTCAATCCCCAAAAAGTATCGAAGTCTACCAAGATATTGTTTGAAAGTGCTGACAAAGGTGTTGCTTTATCTGTTCAATACCATGATGATCACTTCTTGTAATGACAATGTCATCTACATACACAATTAAGTAAATACAAGGTTGAATGACGATAAAAAATGTAGTGATCTACTTCACTTTGAGTCATGCCAGATTGTTGAACCACCATGCTGAATCTGCCAAACCATGCCCTTTGAGATTGTTTGAGACCATAAAAGGATTTTAAGAGACGACAAATAAATCCTAAAGACTCCCCATGCAACAAATCTAGGAGGTTGCTCTATATAGACTTCTTCAAGATCACCATGAAGGAAAGTATTCTTGATATCAAGCTGAGAAAGAGGCAAGTGACGAATAGCAACCATAGATGAGTCGCTGGACATATGTCATTTTGGCTACTGTAGAGAAAGTGTCACTGTAGTCCAAACTAAATATCTGTGTATAACCTTTGGCCACCAAATAAGCCTTAAGGTGATCAATCTTGATTTTATAGATTCACCTGCAACCAAAAAGAAACTTTGCAGGAGGAAGAGGAACAAGGTCCCAAGTACTACTATTCTGAAGAGCACACATTCATCAATCATCGCTTATTTTCAACTGGGATGTGAGAGCATTACCTGTGGACTGAGGAATAGAAATAGAGGGCAAAGAAGACAAACAAGTATAATGAGAAGAAGACAATAACAATACCCTAATATTGTGTATAGGACCCATTAGCCATTGTGATAGAATCTTCTTACTTCAGCAACTTCAACTCCTCAAAAGGATTATCCAACCGATCACTCCCAAATCTAACTATCAAAGTTTGTTTTAGATTATCCCATGTTGGTTCCTCCTCCTTGCTCCACAATTTGAACCAATCAACCGTGTCCCCTCCATGCAAATTTTAGCCAATGTCACTTTCACTACCTCACTTGTCCCATGCACATCAAAATAAGTCTGCTCTGCAAATCCATTCAGGAAGATCAACGCCATTGAAGGTGGGGAGTTCCACCTTGACAGAAGAATGAAACTCAACATCAAGGTTTCCTCTCCGTACACTCTCGTCATTCACGTCTCCAATTCTCTCTCCACTTGACTCCGTATGCGGCTGGCCTTCTGGCACTTTAGCAGTGCTCATCTTTTGTATTTCCTTTAACAATTCTTGCTGCGGGACATTCATCTTTCTTGTTATGTTTGATAGCATCTTTTGCTAAGTTTCGATGTTCTGAACTATAGATTTGAGAACCTCTACTCTCTTGTTCATCCTTGTTGACATGGGGTAGGATCCGGCAAGTCGGACCAATTGTTAGGATTCAGAGATGAAATCAATGAAAAAATTAGAGAAAAATGGTTATATTGATCTTAGAAAGAATTTGGATTACAAAGAATCTTCCAGAGCTAATAGCTCGTAATGAGAGAATGAAATTCTCTCCAAAACAACCAAGAAAGAACATGCCTCAATGGAGAACTAACTCTCTATTTATAGTATCAATTAGCAATATTAACAAACTAACAACTGACTCTTTTTTACCCTTCCTCCTAACATAAACCTTCCACACTTTAGGTCTCTTATTGATATCAATCATCTGCTCCTCTGCCATGGTTCTACCAAAACCTTGAAGTCTCACAAATTCTTGTACAAAGACCATTGCACTACTCTTTATAGAATAAGGATACTTAAGCAATGTTATCAATGGGGGATGTGACGGGTCATGGCAGACAGCAAAAATATTGGCATAAAATTATGGCAGAAGCATGGCTATATATATATATATGTTGCAAAATGTGATATAAAGCTAGAAAACTAACTACATACAAAAGAAAGAAGATTTTGAGGAAAAAAGAATACAAAGGCTGTAAAATAGAGAAAAAAGACTGAAGTTATAATAGAAAAACAGAATTAAAAATAAAAATGGAGAAGGAAACTTGGAAGTGAAAACAGAAAAATAGAATGAAGGAAACAGAATAATAAGGAAAAATGAAAAAATGGGGGAGGAAAACAGAATTGAACAAAAAAATGGAATAGGGGAGGTAAAATCTAAAAAAGAGGGAAACTGAAGATGCTGAGAGAGAAACAGAACACTGAAGAACATAGCACCAGAAGAAGCAAAATAGACGCCAAGAGAGTGACAAATAGAGCACTGTATGAAGTAGAAAAACAGAGCCTAGTGAAGCAAAATGGAAAATAGATACCGAAAAACAAGGTCCATAGTTGGTGCGGTTTCTTGAGATTTAGCCTTGATCAAATTATATTAATATTGAGCACATCTATCAAAGTGTTCTGATACGATGCCATCCCATTTGAGATATCTTGAAGGATGCTCGAATTGCTGGCTGTGTAACCGCTGCTGAAGCTTATCAATATATTGAACAAAAGAGGACAAAGGAAGCTGAATCAGGTACATGTAAAGAAATTGGTCACATTGGAACAAGTGCTAAGACGGTACAGAGGCCCAGTTATTTCAAAGGAGAACTTGATAGTAGTCCACAGGGTCTTCAAAAGGGGACTACAGCTTTACTTAATGGTGCCAAAGATTCATCTACTGTCATACAAGCTATCACAAGGTCGCTAGAAGAGTGGGATATTAGTGGATTTGCAGGGGCTGAATTGCTATCTGAATCTGTGAGAATTCTCTCCCTTGTTCGATAGAACTTCATTTCTCTTTTTATGTTTCTGTTATCTTTCTTTTAGCTTTGTTTGTTTGGATTTTTTATTTTAGTTTTTGGGGGATAAGGCTGTGTACAACTCTACATCTGACCCTCCCAAAACCGCAAAACGGTGGGAGTTTTGTGCATTGCGGATACCTTTATAAAATGTTTGCGGGTGGGGCTATGTATCTGATTTGTTCTTTGACAATGATTAACTTGCAGGAGAAAAATCTTTGTAATGAGATCAGAATACTACCGTCACACTATCTCAACATGCTGCAGACAATTTCATTAGAAATTTCAAAGGGCAGTGTAACCAAGAAGTCTGACGCACATACACTGTTTAAGGTAGATCCAAGCAAGGTTGACAGAGTTTATGATATGCTTGTGAAGAAACGAGTTGTAAAAGAATAATGATGCAATTTCAGTTACTGTACTATTACTGGAAAATAAAAAATGAGAAATCTTGGTTCAAGAGGGATGATTTTTTCGTTGTACAAGTTCCTTCCTCAACAATGGATTGCCATCTTTTTCATTCCTTTGGCATTTTCATCTTTTAGTGCATACTTGGGTATATAGAAACTGGATTTCCGTGATGCAATGATGGATAAAAAATCCCATCCTGCAAGATCACTTTCTTTTTTTGTCTTTCAAGTTTCATGTTTCTTCCTGTTAGTAAGGTGTCGTGCACGTAAATTATGCTCTTCATATTTGCCATATTCAAGCAAACTTTTCCTTTATTTGTTTGCATTCGTGGTTGATATAATTGATTTTTTAGTTTTCAAAAATAGCCTTTTAAATCGAAATTTATTTAAGTGATATTTACTCATTTTATGTTGCTCGTGATCCATTTTATTTTAGTTAATGTAACAAGTCAAGCCATTACAAGGAAATTCTAAATTTACCAACTATTACATAATCATCTCTTTTTTCTTCGTATAATTAAAAGTTCATTCGTATTTTCTTTAAACAAAAAAATTGTAATGAAGTACATAATATATAGAAAAGGTCTAGGTCACCTGTGACAGTCCTTAACCTATAGTGCAGTATCTTAAATATTAAGGTTTTTAAAATGATTGAAATGATTCTTATTAATTTTTAATTTAAATATTGACAAAATGCATTATGTGACTAGTATGTGACTATTATTTTTTTGAATTATTCCGGTGACTGGTTTCAATCGTCTGTAAATTAAATATTGACAAGTTGCATTGAAATAGTGTTTTTTTTTTTTTTAATTTTATTGTGGATTTTAACATGGGGAAGTGCAAAGCTTCCTCACATGCACCAGGATGCAATGACTGTTTGCAGCAAGTTTATTACATATTTTAAAATATAGTAAGTCTAGTACATAGAAGTTTTAAAAAAATATTCTTCAGTCCTTTTGTATTAAAATAGCTTATTTTAATTTGATTTTAATCAGGAGATAAAAAAAATATTAAGGGCTGTTTTCTTTCCTGTCAAATAAGTTTGAACAGTACAATACTTAATAATTATTTTTATTTAATTCTATAATAATTATGTACTTTTATATTTAAATGTCAATTTATTTATGCAAATTGAAGCTTGTTTGTTTCTTTATCTCTGAACTTTGTTTATCTTGTTTTGCTGTGAATAAGGAACTACAAATTAAAAGTTGTAATTTTTTGTATCTTATCTTTAATTGGTAACTACGTTTTTTTTTTAACAAAATAAAAGAATGTTAATATTTACTATTGTTATAGACACTTATCCCACAAAATAAAGAAAATCCCTTTTAAAATTACAAGTATCATATTTTCCTTAAAAGTTTTTCCTTAAAATTACATGCATTATTTTTTAATTTTAACAGTAAGGTATTGAACACTGCCAATATAGGTACACTATGAGTGTTAGTGTTAGATTCTTGCCAGAGCTTGTAAGATCTAGGGCAACACCATGCTCCAAAACCTTCATGGATTAATGCAAACTTCACTTTAATGTTCTCCAAATTAACTGCAACTAGCATAGGATATGATTGGCAAGTCAGGAAATATTTCAAACGAAATTCAAGGTGAAAGCAGATTTTACCATGCACAATCGAAAAGATTAACAAACCATTCTTATAACCTGTAGCTAATGTTTAACACAAGGCTAACAAAGTTTGCTAAACAATTTGTTGTGTAAGACAAGGTTGTCAAGAGTATATATACCAAATTTTATATTGCTAACCCTACAAACAATGTTGGCAAAATGGGTCTACCCAATCGAGTGGATCCAAACCAATGTAGAAGAACTTTAAATTTTGAGCCCGAATTATCTGAGCTTTTTTAGCCTAATTCCATCAAGTCCATAGTGAGTTTAAGCTCGCAAAAAAATTGAAACTTGTTTGGGGAACTTTTTTTGTGAGACCCTGCATTATATCCAGACTTTTTTAGCTTAACTCGCTACTTGCAGTGGATGAACCTAAATAAGTGGAGTAACTCATTTTGCCAGCTAATGCATGTTGCATATAGCTGGAAAAACTAGCATGTGGTAACCTACAACGTATAGATCATCCTAAGAAAAACTTGAGCAAGCACACCTATTATAGAAGACAAATTAAATGCATCATAGAAGACAAAAGAAACCAACTTTCAGTGACGATTTTACAAACCCACTGTGCTAATACAATCATCCATTCTCTCCTTAACAAATCTAATATCCATGTTGGATTTCAGCTAGGGTTATCCACCACCCGATTCTTAAAATTGGCCCAGTAAGCAAAGCATCCAATTTCTTAATTTTGTACGAGGACTCTTTAGATCATTTGTTGTTGTTGGAGACAAGATAATTGACCTTTAAGACCAATTGTCATAAACAATTTTGATAAAAAAATAAAAATAAAAATCAAAACTACTCTAATGAATTTTATATTTGATGAGTTTCTAAATTTTTAATTTAAACAAAGGTTTAAAAGAACTCAAGACTTAATGAATATTTGATGAAAAGTATGGATATTATGCATGTAAAGAACAACCATGGCAAAGAATGAAAAAAAAAAGCACGTTTCTCAAGTAGAAGCATTGTGTTTAGTAGAAAGTTCTCTAAAAAAAGTATACTTTATGTCCAATGGAAGGAAAAAGTAATAAAAAAAAGAGTTCACTGCTAGAAAATTTGAAAATATAGACGGATTTATAGACAAATTTTTTCATTATTACAAATGAATTTTAGCATTATAGACAGATTTACAGACGGACTGGAGCCGTATGTAATATGGGTAAATAAATACAGACAAATTTAAAAATTCATCTGTAATTTACGAACAGAACAAAAAAATACGTCTGTAATTACAGACAGAAAAATCGATATGTAAATGACGCTTTTTTAGTAGTAGTTGTTATCAAAACTTTTAAAGAATATTGAGAAACTAAAAGACTAAAATAGTTTTAAAAATGATATTATGTATATTGTATTTTTATGAGTTTTATGTATAGAGCAATTGTGAAACTTGCGAACTAACACTACTACTAACTACTATGTGCAAGCTAGTTATTTTTCACTATAGAAGAAAATGCAGTGGCTTTGATATATCATCCTTAATTCCTTATTTTATAAGAAAATGGGTAGCAGGAAATGAAGTTTATTTTATGAAATAAGATATGCTTATAGGAAAATTAAGAAATATTATATGTACCTTCATTATCTTTTTTCTTGTGACAGAAAAGAATCCAGGATGCATATACTTCACAGAAGAGGTTAGCAAATGAGTATGAACAGCTAGCGATATGGTATGGAAACGTGATATTGATCCTGATCAAGGTTATTCACCAAACCTCTCACCATTTTGCTCCAGACCAAATGCGAACTAAGGATTTGCAAGTGCAGCATGCTTCTGAAGGTGACTGGGAGCTGCTGTAAACGTAATTAGGTTGCATGTAAATAATGATGGACCAATTGCTTTGGCTTTCTTATTTAGCAAATGTAACTGTTGAAGGTGGCATGACTTGCTAAAAATAACATTGTTTAGGTTTTCATGACGAATGTGCTAATAAATAATAACTTATTTGGGTCACAATTGTCGATGCTGCATTGGTTCTATGAAAAGTTGTCGTTTGTTTCTTCTATTTTTATTTCTCAGGTTGCAAACATGAAAAGTGGTTTCCTTGGTATATATAGGTATCGACTTCGTATTAACAGTTACTAATCTATTTCTATTTGAGCTCCAAAATGTGCTGAACTTTGTAAATGAGAAAGAGAATGATGAACTAATGAAAAATTGTGAGTGTGCCCTTCATTTGAGAGATGCTTGTGCCTTCTCTAATGGTATCTTTGTCAAGAGAAGTTTTCATAATTCCTCAACAAATATGCATATAGGATTTCATTCCACGCATCAGGGACTCCAGGTAAGCACCAGCAGTCAGCCAAATCTTTTGGCTTGGCTCTTTGCTCTTTGGTCAAGAGCTTGCCCTTTCTCTCCCTATAAATTGATGTATGAGCATCTTTTCTGTTCTCTGATAATTGAGCGATGTTCAAGAGGGCAACATTTATTTTCAGTACTTGTAGTGCATCATGTATTATCTCCATAATCTCAAGATTTGACCCACTACCCTAATTATCTTCATTATGTATTATTGCCCCTTCTTTGACTTTGAATATAAAACAAAACTTATACAATAATTTTTAAGATTTAATTTTGTTTTTGTTCATATAAATATTTATTATTTCGTGATAAATCTTTATAAAAAAAATTTGTTAGTCTTACCTATAAAAAAGGGAACCGAGTACCCCTCGGTCGTATAAGGTAATTAATCCAATTAAGGGTAATAATCAAATTATTATCTACTATCAAAGGGCCAAAACCAAGGCTGACTCAGCAAGCCCATTAGCTCATAATACTTTCTATAAAAGGAAGGTAAGAGGTACAGGTAAGAGGTTGACTTTTAATTATTAAAATAGTATTTACTGCTTAGTACCGAGACTTGACTTTAGCATCGGAGTACCTTTTGCAGGTACCCTCTCCATATCAGCAATAATTAGAAGGACGCCGTTTCAGAACAGAGACCCGAAGACTAATGCTAAGCTGACATATAGTCAACTCAACACTCCCATATGATATGCTATGTCATTTAATTTTTTATTAATTAAAATTAATATTTATAAATAAGTTTTTTTAACACATTTTATACAATTACAAATGAGTCCTTTCCTAACCCTTTTCCTTCTCTTTCCCGTTCTCGCTACCTAACCCCACCCCTCTCTTCTCCCTTTTCGATACTTACTTCCTCCCCAACCCATCAAGGTTAAGCTCCACCATCCTCATGGATCTAAGGCTGCATTTCACCTCAATTCAACCACTCCCATGTTAAGTAATTTTACGTGTGACAAGCGAATCAAGTCTGTTGTAATAAGAATGAAATAAGAGTTGATTAACTACAAAAACTTGTAAGATAATAATAGGTTCTAATATTTTTTTTTGGGTTAATTTTTAATATTTTATTTAAAGCTTAAAAAAAGAATTATATACATTATATATGCACATTTTGATATTCATTGATTTGAAACTTAAATTAATTAATTAAAATTAAATAGTGTAAATAAAATTTAAAAACAATAAAAAAGAAACTATTAAAATTGAATTTCATCTATCTAACTCAATTGATCGCTAATATGATATAAATATGATTATATTGATCGATGTTATTGTTGTATCTATTTTATATTAAATATCACTTAATATTGATGGCATCTTAAAAAGAAAAATTAATCTCTTCAATTATTATAGTTAAAAAATAGAT